TATGAAAAAAACTGCACGTTCTTTCCTGATATCGCAATTCTACGACGAATCGGAATCATTTTTAGATAATCGTAAATTTCAACGATTCGTATTCGTCAAAACTTATTATTATGACGAATTGAGCAGAATATTTTTATATTTATATGATATTGCTGAGCTGATGTTAAAATGTCGATCAGATATAGAAATGATGTAAAAGTACGCCGAATTAATAAAATTATAACGTTGAAGCCTATGGTAAACTTCGCGCGCAAGTGTTTATTCAGTAGATACCGAGCGTGCAAGAGATTTAGACCGTTCCTGGTCAGACATCTCAGAACTTCAGTAGAAACTGATCGCTCTTGACCCATTCCTGGCGATTCTAATCGTCTCGAAATTTACCTTTCAATTCTATTTTACGTAACAGAGATTATTGAACCAGTACTTATTCCATAAAAATTGAGATTCAACTTCAAAATTTAACACATACAATAAGTGACACTACTTTTTGCCATTTTCTCATTCTTGGAGAAATTTGATTCGCTTACTTTTCCCCATCCCCATAGATTTAAACTATTTAAAATTCCTCTTTGCTCCCTCTTTCCTCCCATACCCAGCCTATATACCACTACAAACTGCTCGAAGAGTGATCCAAAATCCGAGGAAAGAATCGTTTCCTCTCCCTTCCATTTACCATCGTCGCGGTATCCACGTCAATACCGCTCGAATATCCTTCCTCACTCGCAACCGAGGAGAGAAACAAACGGTCGTGATTCTCTCGCCGTTTCCACGCGGTGGAAATTGAATGCACGCCGATAAGAATCACCGCCACCGCCTACCTTAATTTTCATAGCGAGCGGCGAATAGCGGCCGAGCGTTTGTCCATTAAATTCCGCCATTTTAGATATCGCGGGAGGGGTGTCTCGGTTCGTTTCGCGGCCTAAACGCGTGTATCACACGCGCGTACGTGCACGTATGCACGGGATCGCGCACGATCGAGCGTGGTGAGGCAAGAGGAGCGTGTGTGTGCACATGTGTGTGTGTGTGTGTGTGTATGTGGAGGAAGAGAGCGGAGGGGACGCGAAAGAAGCGGCTGAACAACACACGAGGCGAGGGTCGGGCAGAGGAGGGAATGAGAGGGAGTAATAAAAAAGTAAGGCGGCTATCGCAACGAGGAAGTCGGCGTTTCGCGGTTGCGTGCTCGGCATGAGCTGACGTCAGCCAAGATGGCTGCCGGCCGGCCCTCTCCTTCATCATCGCGGCGGAACACGCACGCACGCAGACATACGCACACACGCCATCGTACGCGCAATGATACTGGGGGAGGTTCCGGGCCAGATTAAGTGATTAGTCGGAAACGGGAGAGGGAAAGCGGGGAGAGAAAATGAAAAATCGAAAATCCGGAGGATTTTTCTAGCGATTTTTTCGATCGAGTGTTTTCTTCTTTTTCCTTTCTTACAGGTTTCGTCGAGAAATTATTACGGCTGGGGATTCTTGATCAATTTTTGATCGGTGTTTTCGTAATTTTAGAAAGAAGAATACTAATGAAATCGAGTACGAAACTTTCGAAGAGGATGCGGAAGATGATTATTTCGAAAAACGAGTACCGATGTTTGATTTAAATTAATAAGTTTGATCTTGGAAAATGATAATGGAAAAGTGAAGAGAATATCGAGATTGCGAAAAAAAGAAAACGAAGTGCAGTTTGCATCTGCATGTTTCAAGGCGATCTTGTTTCGCTGAGGAACATGTTTCTTTAGCCGATGATGGATTATCGGGAGAGTTGATATAAGAGTATCCTGCGTTGAGACCTTTGATTTAGAGTTCTTGTTTCGATCTTTGATCTCGTTGGATTGGAATGATGAAACATACTCGTAAAATATAATAATCATGCAAGGGATATCATAAATCGGACGAAGCCAAGAAGACTCTTTTATTTCTCGCGATACTGGAGGAATAACACGTTGTTGTTATCGATGTGGCAATATTCTCGAGCCAGTGGATACCTCCTTTATGCGATCAGACACCGTAATATCGCGACAAGTAGAAATAGCCGCAACAAATTTCAGGGGAATAAAAGGCAGAAGTAGTGGAACTCAACGTTAAATCAGGCTTAACGGCGAATAAAATTTTTTTCACCTTTATACCACTTTGCCTTGCTAATAATACACCATTTTGAAACTCGAGATGATGAATTTTCGATTAAAATTAATCCTCATACGTAATTTTTTCTCGATGCGTCGAATAATTGTGTTGTACACGGAAAAAAAGAAAAAAGGAAAAAGTAAATGCAATCGGAGCAGAGATTAATGCGCACGTACGCGGGAATAGCTCTCATTGTCGGTTGAAAAGAAAACGATATTCTCGAAGAAAAATTAACCAGCCGTCTCGTGACAACACTGTCATTATTTGTGACACCGTGCAATCGGATTTGCGACAGGAAAAATTGCAATCCGATATTCCAAGAAACGGACGCTTCGATGAAGAAATAAGCAGATGGTAAACAAGTAAATCAACGTCGCCTCTATCATTACGACTATCACGTCATACACTCGAATTCCGAATCGGTATAATTAGTTGAAAAATAATGCAATTCCCTCGTAGAAAGACAGATATATATATAAGTTCTCTGTTTCGAAGAATTTTAGAACAGAAATCTCGCTATTCCTATTTCATTCTGAATACGCTATATCATTTTTTTCTTTTTTCGGTCGAATTATATACATCTTTAAGAGAGAACATCCGCGACATAAGCACAATTTAAAGCAAGGAATAATAAAAATTTTACATTGGGATCAATTTGGAACGAATTAAAAAAAGCAACACGGTGGAATTTGCCACTCGCGCACACATTTTTACAATATAATCGTTAAGTGCCTTTATCACGGTTCGTTCCACGTGTTCGCCAATTAAAATTCCTCAAAGCCGGGTTCTTTTCCTCTTAAATGTTTGTCGTTCGAGCAAAACAGCGACGTTCGTCGCGAAATATTCAGATTAGCCAGAAACCGTTCCCGTCACGACGCCAGATGGATAATCTCGCGGCGATAAACAGCCCGAGCCGGGCTCACGTCCCGCGATAAATAAATCAATGGCTCGCGTGGAAACGCTCGTTACGTGCCACGCGAGCGATTACTCGCGTCGGCCTCGATCATGCCCGATACAGGCCCGTAATCAGAAATAATTGCACGGCACTCTTTTCAGCTTGCTCGTTTCTGGCCCACCGTGCGCGTGATTGAATTTATAATCGGGGCTTTCATTCGTCCGATCGTCGTTCCGCTCGCGAGCCGTTTCGCGGAATTCGCCGCCCCCGCGTTTCCCTCCAACAGTCGCGAAGGAAGAAATTTCTTTTCCCCCACGACGATTCGATTTTTTAGAATGGGAATAACCAGTCTAGGTATGCTTGTGACGAAAATGTTATTAAGCTCTTGTCGCGTGTACGATTTCACTTTAAAAATTCGCGAATTGAAAATTGGAGAGAGAGAGAGAGAGAACAATGGAATTTATTTATTTTTCCGAAGCAATGCTTGCCAGGAAATCAAGATAGATTATTGCGTTTCTTTTTGTTCATTTTTTTTTTGTTTTTACAGAGATAGTATTGTATTGTGCAAGAATATTGATATTAAAATAAATTGATAGAAAACAATGAATTTTCACACGAACAGGATTTAATAATTTCAGATTCAGGAATTATTAAATTATTACATTGTTTTCGTAATAGAATTCAATAGAATTATCATGTTCTTCCAACGAATTGAAAATGAATCTGAAATGAATATTAATTTTCAGTAAATGATAATTCCGTTCGAAATGATTAGGAACGATCCTATAAGTACAACAAGATTAAAATCGTATTAACGGGAAACATATTGCAAAACATCTCGAGATTTTGAACAAATATTATCCCTGTACGTAACAACCTGTGAGCGTCTGTAAATTTAAAACGAGCAATTCTTCTTCTCCGAACTCTTCGTTTCGTTTCGCCCCGATCGATTCTCGAATCGAAATGAATTATCTTCTCGTGAACGAGGATTCAATCAGATTCAATCGGCGATCAGATATCGCCGTCGTGCCCCTACTCGGCCGTAACTTTCGTTCAAACTCTGCCTGCCGATTAAAGAGCGACGTTAACGAAAATTTAACGGCGAGTTAACGACGCGACACGCTGAGCCAGTAACCCATAAATGCGTGCACCGGGGGTTGAACAGAGAACAGCCGGGGAGAAGAACGAAAGCGGAAGACAGAAGGGAAACGAGGCAGAGAGAGAAAGAGGGATACAGAGACGCGGAAACGCAGAGAGAGAGAGAGAGAGAGAGGAAGGGGAGGAGAGAGAAATCTGTGAGCGCCACCCTTTCGTATGCAAATTCAGGAACACCTGGAGGCAAAGGTCGCATGCAAATCAGCCCTGTGTAGCCATCTGATCGGGGCCCGAGCCGCGGCTCCCCGTGCAAACACGTGTTTTTTACAGCCTCTAAAAATCGTGTCGCTGTCCGCATATTTTTCCTCCTCTTCTTCCTCTCCCTCCCCTCTTTTTGTTTTCCCCTCTCCCGACCGTTTGCTATTGCTCTTTATCGGCTCACGATTTCGGGAAACACCGATCGACCGGAATATATTTTCACGCGATTCGCGCGACGGCGTTGGGAGGCGCGCCGTGTTTGCCGACAAGCGGAACGATTTTCATGGCAAATATCAAAACCGGTCCGGTTCACAGAGGGTGGAAACGAGAGAGAGAGAGAGAAAAAAGCCACCGCAGAGGCGCAGTTTATCAAATTTTTTCCCCTCGCTTGATTCGAAACTCCCCGCTCGAGCACCGCCACCACACCGCCATCACCATTAATTCGCGAACGTGTCTCTCCGGTGAGGGAGAGTGGGGGAGGAAAAAATCTGCGTCAACGGTGAAAACAACAAATCCGATCCCCGGCCCGCGAATCGACCATCGAGACGATTAATTCACCGTGCGTACGCGTGTTTTTTTTTCTTCCTTCTTTTTTTCCCCTTATTTTTTTTTTTTTTTCCCTTTCTGTTTTTTCGAGCGTGTGTAAAAAAGTCGCGTCCATTCACGCGTCCACTCGATCCGATCGAGTGTCGTTTCGTTCCGATTTGCCGAGAATGGAATAATAAGAATTATTTTTTTCGATCGATCTGATATCGTAATGTTACGCGTGATCGTCATCTCTTTGGTGCGATTTACTTTTTCGCGCAATGCAAGCTCGTTAATCGCGCCCGTTGTTTCCTACATCCTTCGTTGTTAATTGCATTTCGAAGGGTGAATCTTTGAATACTTAATAAATTCCTTGGATGTTATAAAGTAAAATTAGGATCGGCATAGAAGATGGATAGAGGTGATAACGGAAGGAAGCAGCAACATGTTATATGCCGCAAGATGGGTACAACATTGGGGCGATAAAATGTTGGATAAATTAAATTCTGATCAGACTCGAACTAACTGGATACTCGTGCTAACTGGTCCGTAATTAATCCTTGAAGGTAGTAATTAAGCGAGTATCAATCAGAATTAAAATCTGCAAAGGAGCAAGGGAACTGTAATGCTAATTTCCTTCTTCTTTCTACATCCTCGCTGACTTTTATTCCCTGATAATATTTCGATGATAAATCCATTTAATTGGATCCTTTGATGCAATTTCAGTGAATATTTCGCAACGAGAAAAATTACGCGATATTAAACCGATCCCTTTTTGGACAAACTATCGGACAAAATGGCCTTCGAGTCTTACATTTTTTTTTTACCAATTTTCAATAACGTTCGAGCGAATCTGAATATTTCAAGAAACAACAGAGAAACAAGTACAAATTCCTAGACAATATTATTTCAATCTCAAACGACAATAATACACACGCGTGGCCTGGGTGGTCGCGCGAAAAGGAATCTACCCAATTACCCCCTTTTAATTGCCCGTTTCTCGGTTATTCCGGGCCCGCCTCGAGGCCGAACATCCCCATTTCATATGCAGGCATTCCGAATGCAAATATGCCCGGCTAAAACATATTAATTCCCCGCGTTTATGGAACGTGGCGCGAATCTTTTTCGTTTCCTTCTCTATTTTTTTATTTTTCATTTTCTTTTTTCCCCTTTCTCTCGTGGCCATATCACAGCGGTGTATCCTGCTGTATAAAGCATAAAGAAAAAAGAAAAAAGAGTACGTGCACACCAGGTCGTCCACACCGGCCGGCTTGCCAATGTGCTTTCTAATTATTCTCTTCGTTAACGACCCCGGCCCCTTAATTGGCCAACGTGACGATACAAATCGTAGTTTCTTCCATACATATGTATGCGCGATGTAAATCCGAGTAAACACCCGCGATATGAGCGAGCCGCACGGGATAGAGACGTCACCTCGGCCCTAAAATACTACGGCCAACAACTGCTTAATTATGCGCGAAACGTCGTCGATTTTGCTACTCCTGTTGCCACGGCACGATCGTAGAAATACGTGATGCCGTTTCTTTCGAACCCTTTTAACGCGCGGGGGGTCGCTTTTTCCTGCCGTGTAGACACACCGCCGCCTCGCTTGTTGCACGTGTAATACCTTCTTCTTCGAGGCAAGGATTATACTTTCATGTTAGTTCGATGCGTACGTTTAAAGTTTTTGTTGTTCTCGGTTGAGTCGAAAAAAAAAAGAAAAAGAAGAAAGGAAGGAAGGAAGGAAGGAAGGAAGAAACTTGAGGAGATGGTTCAAATGGTGGACTGTAATTTAGTTTCTCGATGAATTTTTTTCTTTTTCTTTCTTTCTTTCTTAGTTTCTTTCTTTCTTCTTTTTAAAGGTAATTGGTCTTGGACTTGAAGTCATAATTTTGTTTGTAAAACATTGGGTGCGCTCGAAATAAGCACCGTTTCTTTGGATCTGAGGGAGAGTAAATGCAAGTATAATGATAGTGTTTGTGGTATTTAAAATTCAGTGGAGTTTGATTGGTAGTTTTCAAATTTGAAATACTAGTTTCCTTTTTCTTTTTCTTTTTTTTTTTCTTTAGAAGATATGGCGTAATGAAATATCTAAGAGTATTTATATATAAAAAGATTTTCTAATAGCTCGATATTTTCGAGAATGATGTGAAATGTTCAACGTAAGAGGAGATTGTTCCTAATTCTGGTTCCAATGTCTTTCGTTCGAGTTTGAATCTTTGATATATTTTTTTTTTTTTGTTAATCTCGATCACAGCTTCGTCTACCTCGATTTCAAATTATCTTCTCGATCCTTGATATTTTTTGACGCAGTTTCAGTTGCACGGCAACTACATTTCTCCCGTGACAAGCGATGAGACTCGTTGTTTCCCCCCCTCGAACAAGCCACGAGTGACAGACACGAGGCTTGATAGACGGGAATTAACCCGAAACGGGGCTCGAAGTTCGGCAAGTTCGGCCCTCCTTCGCCAATTATTGATCTGATAATAGTCGCAGTCCAACCCGTGCACACGATCCGTCTATTTAAGTTTGTTACGTGCACGAAATGCACTTTCGAGTTTCCAAACTCTTTCGGCCGAGTGCGCTCGTTGTCAGCTTAAATAATTGAAACGTCCGTCCGTACGTGCCCGAAGAGATGGCCAAAACGTTAATTTTTCATCGATACTTTAAAAGAAACGATATCACATTTTATTTTATTTTATCTTCTCCGGTCGATATTCATCTTCAACGTTTCTTTGAGGGATTTAAAACGGTCACGATTCTACAATCCTCTCCAAAACCTTTAAACGAACGGCTTGAAAACGGAATCGAGACGGTTGAATGTCTCCCCAATAATAATTGACCGAAAACTTAAAAAGAAGAAACAAGAACAAAAATCACCAGAAATTCCTCGATGAAAATTCAGCAAGATAGAATCTCTTGCAATAGAAACTCTCGTAGTCTGGGACCAACGTTCCATCGAACGTTGGTAACACGGCTCGTAAATCGGCTTCGCGCGCAATTAAGCCCGCCTCCGATAAATCAGTGTTTTTCTCGCCGATCCCGACTTCTGCACGGGATATTTCCGCGCGAAACGTCTCGTAATATCATCATTCCTCGCGTTTACGCTGCCGTTTATCGGCCGGTTGCGCACCACCACGCCACATGACGGCCCAGGAATTTTTTAATGGTGTCCCATCGCGGCCGAGGTTCGTTAAATTTCACGGAGAAATATGGCCGGGTTTCCGCTCGTAAAGCGGACGAAAAGGATCGAGCCTTGCATTTTTCCTAATAAGGCCCATCCTATCTGGCCCATTATCAGAGGGGGAAAGGGAGGGGGGAAGAGGGCATCGTTGTCCCGTTAAGGGATAATCGGGGCCTGTTCCGGATAACGCGTAATTAATTATGGGGCGCGAGAAGATTAGCCACCGGGCGCGCTTTTTTTCAAGGGACTTGTTAGGTTGATTGATTTTCCTCCTCTTTTTGTTGCTCACTTTTCTTGGAGATTATTTTTCGCGGGGAATTTGAAATATTCGAATAATATTTTAACGATCGAACTTCACGAAAAATTTGAATTGATATTTGTAATTGGACATTTTGGATTCTTAATGAAGAATTGTTTCATTTAGTGTATAAAAACATCCGATAAAATTGTTTAATAAATATTTTGGGCATGTCTGGAACGTTAAATAAAATTAGATTTTTAGAAAAATCTTGTTTTTTTTTTATCTAGGAGATAAAGTGAACTATTCAAGGGTAATTTGTCGTTAAAACGAAGTAAACGATAATCGAAAAGTTGGATTAAAGTTGTTGCAATAGGTAAATATAGACAATAATATTCCTTCCATATTCTTTGAAAAGTAAATTGATAGTTTACTCTAGGATTGGAGCGGAGGTTAAAGACTATACACGAGCATAATAGGATATCCAAGTCTATTTATTATAGACTATAAACGATGATAAATAATGAGATATTATCGAAGAAGAAAACTTCGTCTAACTACTTGTTTCGAAATTTTCATTCCTGTGATTATTCCTTAATAACTCGAGATGAGTCTATTACGTATTTACACCCTCATTTTTGCAATCGTTTTGATACTAAAAATATAGAAGAACAGTTACACAATTGATTCGTACCGTGTCCTAAAATTGAAACGTAACAAACACTGTCCAAACTAAAATTAGCATCTCAGGGAGACGAAGAAATCTAAAAAAAAAAGGAAAAAACTACACAAAACTTTTCCCAACGTTGAAGAAGCGTTTTTCAGAATCGTACAAAATGAACCAATGAACGCACAATTTATTTCGATATCGAGACAAAGCCTGTAATAAAGAGTTAATAGAGTTCCATGATTCGGGATCCAAAGAGAATTGGGGCGCGTAGATCAAGGGAAGACAGAAGGGATGGGTGGTTCATCCATTGGAGTCATTGGCCCCCGGTTTTATAACGATGACGTCGAGCGTAAATCGTCATTTTTATTGCGCCGCGATCCTCTTTACGCTTGTTCGCCGACGCTTTCGAAATTCTCGTCCCACGTAAAAACAGGCCAAAGCCAGTCGTTGCGTCTCCCGTTTCTCGACCCCAACAACCCCGAAGAATTTTAAACGCCTCTGAACAATCGTCGAATTCCTCGAGATGCTCCTCCATCCTCCTCCTTTCACTCCCCAACCGCCGAATCTTTGTTTTACACCTCCGAAAGAAGGAAATCCGAAAGAGGAAAGTTTCTCTTATTTCCTTTTCGTACACGAGCCGAATAGAAAGTTATTTTTTTCTCCAAGATCAACTCGATTAATCCGATGATTCGATGATCGAATTCGAGTTATGAAAAAAGAGGTAAAACTTTCATTATTCGAATCAATGGGGAGATAAAATTATTCTTGAACGATAGAATTTTTTAAATTTTACGAAAGAGATTTACACATCTTGCAAATTATTTTCAATTTTACTTTTTTTTTTTTTAGTTAATGATTTAATAGAATTTTCTTTCATTACTTTCTAATTTCTAAGTATTTTTGATTTGGTTTCGATAGAACAATAGGTACACGTTATTACGTGTTCAACATTAATATTAAATGAAATTCTATTTCCACTGCTGCGATAAGGAAAAACATCTGCGTACAATATTTATATGTAGAGATAGTGTACAATAATTCGATTTTAATTAATTCGGTAACTAGAAAGTTCCATGATGAAAGATGGAAAAAGAAGAGTAAGTGACATCGAGAAGGAATGATCCTTATAATTTATATTTCTTTCTCATTCTCGATTTCGATACTTTTCTTTGTTTTCTTCTTCTCTTCTCCCTCCTTCTCCTTCTCACTAACTCACTTCCCTCACCCTTCCCTTTCAAATTGACGACGTGCACGCGAACGAAGCTGAACCATTGCTCTCTAAACAGCCACGACGACGACGACGACGACGACGACGACGACAACGACGACGACGATGGCTCGTGTGAGCGGCCAACCAACGTCCATAATTAATGATAATTGTTCAACTAGCTTGATGGCTTTAATTAAAGGCAGTTCTGCAATTCTCCACGCTGCGATCTTACTTCTATTTTCCCGTCTCCTCCTCCTCCTCTTTTTTTCTCTTTCTCTCTTCATCCTCCTCTATTTTTCATCTCCCCTAATTCCTCCTAAATTCCATCTATCTATCCATCCATCTCCTTCTTATCCGCGCAATTTCTGATTCTTTTTTTTTTTCCTCTTCTATCTAAGGTTCTCGACCGATTAACGATTTCAACGAGACACCCCTCTCCGCGCTATCTTCGAGCGGAATCGAAATCCCCCTGGTTTTAAACTTGACGAATCGAAAACAAAAGACGATCCATTATTGTCTGTTCGTGTCAGCATAATGAATCAAGGAACGGTGGAATTTCATGGTTTCGACGTGTAATTAGCTGTGGAACGCGAGAATTACCCCGTTAACGATTTCTTTGGAAACCCTCGTTAAAAGGAACACTCGTTATCCGAATACCCTGTTATTTCGTTGGATCTCTCTCTCTCTCTCTCTCTTGCTCTCTCTTTTTTTTTATATTCTTCCTGTTGCTTTTCCTTCCTCCCCCTTTTTTCTCGATTTTCGAACCGATAATTTCGTTCTTTTATTATTATTATTATTGTTATTATTCTCATCCAATATACCGATTTCAAATCTGATAATCATCATTCCATCCGATTCTTCTGTAAGTAATATTATTTTGAAAATCTAATTTCGAGAAAATAATAGAAAATGATATTATTATTTGTATTATTATTACAAATTATTTTTAATTTCATTTGTCCAAAAAATATTTTATCTTTTCAATGATAATGTAACGTTGATTTGATCTTCTTTTTCTTTTGTTGTTTAAATAATTATTGAATGAAATACGTGATAATTTATTATGTTGGGTTAAAAAGAAAATTTATATTATTCATATTTAATCCCTTGAATTTATATTCCATATTATATAATGATATTGTAATAAAATAATATATAAAAATTTTCATATTTGCACATATTGTCAAGATTTACACAACAATACTTATTTTACCTTCAATAATTTAATGACCTAATATCACCTAATAATCAGCCAACTTTCAACCCTCCCTATTATTAACTCTCAAATTTCTCTTATTCCGTCAATTGCTTTTAAAAATATCGCATGCCAAATCTTGACCAATCCCCCAAAACGACAACCTTTTCAACCGAGTTGGCAAAACAAATTGCCAACTGCATTGGACACGTCGAAAATCCGAGGATCGTCGAGGCGATTAAATGAAAAGAGGGGATAACGGGGAGGGGGATGACCGATTCGAGCGAGGTGGTCCCCCGTACAGAGGTCGAAGAAGGAAGAAGGAGGTAAAGGAGCACGTCCTATCCTCGTCTAAAAGTCGAAGTTATCGTCTGTTTTTTTTCTTCTTCTTCTTTCTTTCTTTCTTTTCTTTTTTTTTTATACCCAACATCCCCCTTGCCCCTCTCCGGATTCCGACTCGGTGGTGGAGAAGGAACCCTTTCGGAGAGGAGAAACGAGAAGGAACCGCCGGCTCGGCCCTGCCATGTGTTTCGAATGAATTTACATGACGTCCCGGCGTGTAGCTATGTCACTTTTTGCCGGTGTGCGTGCGTACGTACGCGCACTAAGGCCAGCATGTGGGCAGAGATTCCCTGCAGCGGCAGATGTTGGACCATCTTCGCTGTGTGTGCCCCTTCGAGATACGAAACTCGCCATGATTATACCCTATCTGGCCGGCAGGGCCGTATCGTCTTGCCGGATTCTTCGGCGCCTTGCCAACTTTGATGACGTAACGGGACCCTCCCAACCACCCCTCCATCGCGCGAAAACATCTTCCTTTTCTTTTCATCTCTTGTTTTTTCCACTCGCCATTCGTCGATGATCCTTCGATTGAATCTTTGAATTTGAAAAATGTGGGTATAACAATTATGTTTCTATTCATTATCGAGATTTTTGGAGGCAGAATTTTCGGATTGAAAGTCTGGAATTCGATTTTTGAAATGTTACGAGATTTTGGAACGAAAGATCGATCGATAATATGTTATTTATGACTTATTGTTTCGAAAATCTTAATCGAATCTCGGAAATGTCTCGTTAGAGATCTCTTATGATGATTTCGAACGAGACTTTTTCGTAAATTTCGTGTTGTAAATTTTTCCTCGACGTATCCCGTTTCGGTCAGATTGTTCAAAGGGAAGATTTTTTTAGAAGTGGGGGCGTGGCCGTTTGTTTGGAAGTATTCCCTGATAAGTGGAACGAGATAATTCGACGAGATTTCGAAGCTGGCGGGGCGTATATCATTTGTGTGACAGTGACAAATTTATGGGGAAACTTTTTAACAAGGAAAAGGTTCGAAGATACCCAGGTATTTTGTAAAGTTTTTACGTAATCCCTATCATTAGATTTATACACGTTAATTTATAATACTATCCTTTACGTATAATATCATCTCTCGAGGAATTCTATCGAATCCGATGTAAAAATAAAGGTTAAATATAGGGTTCGATTATTATCGAAGAAACGATCGTCTCACTTTGACTAGAGATCATTTTTTTTTCTTTTAAAAAATATTCGTTACCGATTCCATCCTCGTGATTTCGCCCGTGCACTCGAAATTCCGACACTTCCAAATTTTTCCGCCATTTCCCGCGAGTTCATCCTTCTTACCGAATAATACCGCCACTAAGCAACATGCACACTTCCAACCGAGCGTAGCACACCTGGAACAAACAGGGAGAAAATCATCGATCAGTTTGATTGCAAGATTGCAAGCTTCTCTCTGTCGAAAAAAAAAAAAAAAAAAAGGAAGGAAGAGAATTTGCCGAACGATCTCCATTTTCGTGTGAAACGATATTCGGACGAGAATGCATAGAGTTTCTCGGATTACAAGTGTTCTCGATAGCGGGCCAAAAAATGGCAAGGACGGAAGGAGAGGGGGGAAAAAAAAGAACGGTTCGTAAATACGCGAAAAGTTGGTCGCACGAATATCGGTGAAACTATATCGCTGCGATTTTTCGACATTTTTCGACCGTTCGCTTTTCACCGAATGCTTTATTCCTTTTTTTTATCCTCTCTTATTCTCTGTTTTTTTTTTTTTTTTTTTACTATCGCTGACCGTTTGACCCACATGGATAAAATATAATTCGAGCTCTTCCTTTTTTTTTTTTTTTCGAGAAACAGGAAACGAGCGTGCGGTTTCACCGATTCGCTCCTGCTTAATAATAATAATAACGATAATAATAATAATCATTGTTACTCCGATTCAAGGGTATCAATCATACGAATTTCACGACGCGGAGGATCGTGAATCACGGGTTATAATACGTCGAGTGAAAACGAATTCGAAAGGTGGGAGGGAGGAAGAGAGAGGTAGGACGTCACGTCTCTTGACGTAAATGCACATAGAGGAGAAACGATAATGTCGCGGAGAAATTATATGCTCGAAACGCTCTCTCGCCCTGTTATCGAACAAATCGCTATTGTGTAAAATTCGATGCGCGCAAAAATTGGCAAGCGAGTCGTTTTTGCGTTTACATTCGAACACGCGTGATGTTCTCTTGAACGTAATACGCTGTTGCACGCTGAAAGTCGTACGATTTTTTTCTTCTTTAAATCTAAACTCTCTGTTGGGAAATATTTCTGTCGCAAAATATTTTTTTCAATGTCGAAAAGTATATCGCGTAATCGCTTTATTAAGATATTAAAGCGAGCCAACTTGAGATGGATTTTAAATTCGTTACCTCACCTACATATCGTGATATTCATCAATGAAATTCACCCAACTTCTAACGACCCCTCTTCCCTCATAAACTCTCAAAACAAGATCTCGAGTCTTCTCGTCGCTACCGTAACTATCATAACTACCATAACTACCGTAAACAAGTATCAGAATTCCATGTATCACGTCAAGATGCTTATCGTGTCCTAAATACTATCTACCAAATCAATTATCGTGCTCTCCTATCGAATGTATATATATATATATGTATATCGTAGATTATTAGACACAGACTCATCGATAGTGATTATAAAATAATTAATTCAAATTCAAAATTCTCACTATCCGATACATCGACTTTCCAATCTTATCAAGAGGCGAGAATTCCTTGTCGAGAATTAAAATTAGAAGAAGAAAAAAAAAGAAGAAGAAGAAGAAGAAGAAGAAAATACGAAGAGGGAGCACAACGTGTGCCCCTCTCGTGTTCACGCTCGCAAGATGCAACCGGCGATCGAACGGGTGCACGAAATGAATTCAAATTAGCAACAGCGAGCGCGTCGAGTCCGGCAGGCACGATTGTATCTTTTGCATCTCGGCGGCAACAACCAGCAACAACAACTTTTTTGTCGCAAATCGATCCCGCCCGAAAAGCCAATTTCATGCTCCGTTCAAGACGCGCTTCGGCTTCACTCTTAGCGCATTACGTATTCCGACTTGCCCCGCCTTCTCATATTATTGCTCCACTCTCTCTCCCTCTCTCTTTCTCTCTCTCTTTGCTTTTTCTTCCTCTTCTTCTTCTTCTTCTTTTTTTTCTCTCCGTTCCTTATTTTTTTCTTCTCTCCTCCTTCTTCCTCCTTCTCTCTGTACTTTCATCTTCCTTCCTCTTTCTTCTTCTTGTTTCCTCGTCCCTTTTTTTTTCCTTCTTGTTTTCTTCCCTTCTCCTCGTTCGAGGTTAGGTTATCAGGCTCCACGGTAAACCGAGCGTTCATTATAATCGCATCAAGACGAGGAGGATGATGTCGACGGGGGAGTGCAACGGGCCCCGGGAAAGGGCACTGGCCAAAGGATTCTTCCACGTAATTTTCGTTCTACGACGACGTGCAACGACCCGGCTAATTTCGATCTCCAGATCTCGAGAATCGCGAAGATTTGTGGCCACGTTGATCGACCCGATCGCCGTTGGAATCGGCGTGCAACGAATCGGGGCCCGACTCGGTTGGGAACGCGTTGTGTCATTCTTGGTTTCGGATTTTATTTTACTTTAATAGTATTTTCAGGGACCAGTTTGGATCTTTATTATTTTTTTTTTTTCATTTGTATTCTTGGTAATATTTATAAAAAGCGTTGGATCTTTTACTCTTGAAATTGGAGGATTTTTCATCCTGTATATTTTCTAATTTAACAGCATCTTTTACATGCGTATGTAAATTCAATATTTTTTTGATATCTTTTGCTGTTTTATTTATTATTTTAATTATTTGTGAATCTAAAATCTTTTGTAAATTTTTAACAACACAACCGATAATTAATTTCGTGTTTAATTATATTTGCGAGGTGCGAGTAGTAGCCTTTCCGGTCTTTTGATTTTGTAACGCTATTTCTTTCATGTCATAATTATTCATCGATGCAGTTTTTGATCTCGAAAGTTCGATAAATTTATTCAAACTTGTAATGAATTTATATGGTCGCTTTGATATCTTTTCCATAGGTAATTACAAATCCTTTTTCGCTTTTAATTTTACGCCCGTGATATTAATCCATTTTGAAACACATTTTAATGAAATTAATGATATTCCGTTGTTGCAAGCCTTGTAAAATTTCTCCAAAAATGGGAAAAATTTCTACCGGTCGTAATTGTTAAACATCGACACGGTTAAATTACCAAATAACTAAAACATTAATCAATTACGATTACAATTAACAATTTTTTTTTTTAAATTTAATTCTAAACTCCCGAAAGAAGAAACTTCATTTATCAATTCCAAATATTAATATAAATTCCATCCAAAATTTTTTTTCCAAAAGAAATACAATCTTCTCATCGAAAAAACGATTGCAAAATAAACTTTTTAAGAATCTTCAATAAGTATCTTAGCTTCGAGTATCGAAAAATTTCGATCACAGTAATTTTCGATTCAATTTAATTCTTCCTCCACCATTGTTCCTCCACCTCTGTTGTTATTATTTCCATTTTTCAAACAATAAATAGTGATACGTCGAGACTAAGGGATCCGTGTGTGTTTTCATCGGGCAGTTTTTCTAAATTCCTGCCGCGTCAACCCTTTACCTGCTCCCCTGCTAGAATAAATATTTCCACGATGGATCGGCCGTGTGTATTATGTCGTAATGGCGCGGGCATACTAATGGAAACGCGTCAGGAAAACGAAGGTTTCGAAGTAGGTACACAGATGGTCCATCGGCCCTTAACCCTTCCACGCGGAAATTTCCCGCGTGTCGAAGAATGATGGGTCGAAGGGAGTGTGGTGGGGCGCCTATTAATATTCCTTAGACTGCGAGCATCCCGTGAGAAAACTCCCCAAGGGTGTTTTTCCTCCGTCTATTAGCATAAGGCGATGATCCTTTCGTTTCTCACGGATCCTCGCCCATTTATCGACTCGATTAATGAATTTTTATCCTCTACCTCCGTTTCCTTCCATTCTCTTCCATCGATATTCGAACGCGATACCGCTTTTCGTCTTTTCGTTTTCGTATGCTGTATCCTTGTATAAATATTGTGCGAAGCTTTCTTTTTTTATATTTTACGTAAAAAAAAAAAAAAACGATACTTGTTGCGATAATTATTCACGAAATATATATTTGTGAGAATCGTATTTTTTATCGAGTTCTACGTTTCATTTTGATGAAATTAATTTGTTTTGTAAAGTTATGTAAAAATATCGTTAAACGATATAAAATGTAATATAATTGGATGGCTTTTTGCAGCCATTGTATCTGAATGTTTGTGAGAAATTTGAATCAAAGACAAATCTTGCGATTTACTAAAAATAAACTGTCTGCACGTTATTCAAAGAAGGATATTTAAATTAATTCCAAATTCAAAATTTTGTTTGAATTGCTCCTTTGTAGTTTCTTACATCAAAAATATGTTCATCAAAGAAGAACTGTTTTGTTGTCCTCTTCTTCCTTCTTTTTCTTATTCCAGCATTCAATTTATTAATTATTTCCACATAATCACTTTTATACATTAAAAATCAATTAAATCAGATTTAACTCGTATTAACAATAATTACGCCTGTACGAGTTTCCAGTTCTAATGAGCAAATATCAAAGATTACATATCATAATAATTATCAACATGAGATTTTTTTTTTAAATCTTCTTACATCATTATATCATTTTTTAATATTTTTATAATTGATATATCAATCAATTATTAATTCTAATGAGTTTATAACGAATAAGCATAATATTAAAAATTAATGAACAATTTTACATGCATGAATTTTTTCTATCTCTCATTATTATATTTTTATTCTTATTTGCGTGTATGTGTGTTAAAATGATAGAATTGACGGTGATCCAAACTGGAAAATTTACAATCCAGTAGTCGGATAGTTAACGGTTCTCCTCTCTCCCTAACCCCAAAGATCCTTAACCCTTCGTGCACGAGAAATTTTCATAAAATTCCCATAAATAAGCGTCCTTATTTATGCACAATATTTATACGCCACGCATGACCTGAAACGCTGAGCCCTACTGAAATTTTAAATATAGGTATCTACCTAGGATGAATCGAACGGGGTGGTGGATAGGAAGAATAGACGCGACACACCTGTAAACGATCGTATTCTTTTCACCTTTGGGATTCCCGTACGTGAAGAAGAAGAAGAGAGAGAGAGAGAGAAAAAGGTTACACTTCAAGTGTCGTAATTATATTCCATTTCAAAAAAAAAACGGTCGATGCAAATTTTGACATTTCGGATCGAAGATAACGAGAGATCGTAATCGATACTTTCGCCATGATGGACGTGTCATTAAAAGGTTTTATAGAGTTGAATTTTTCGTATTACGAGATGTTTGAAAAATTTATATCCGATATTTGTCAAATTTTTTTTTATATATATATATAAATATTGATAATTTTCTCGATCGTTAAAAAATTGTAGAACGATTTATAATTTTCTTCGGAGTTGAAAAGTGTGAAGAATTTTTTTTTCGAAGGAAAAATATAAAAGAATATTTAAAAAAAAAAAACTGTTTTATTGAAAAATGCATTTTCTCTCATCAAAATGTGGCGGAAAGTGTATAGAAAAATTTTCAAAAATTCGAAAACAAATGATCATATAATACGACGATATACGAGAGAACCAGATTCGAAAATACGAAGGAATCTCGAGGACAATCTAGCACACGAACAATCAACGAAAAATCAGGGGGCCCACGCACACGTTCTCAAAACGTCGAAAGGAAGAGGATTAAATAGTGGAACGATTTCGAGTCGTTCATCCCCCGAACGCAGTCCAGTCTCTTTATCCACTTCATAACGCAAAAATCACTTTTCAGCCGGCCTACCCACGCAATAAAGATCCCATTAGCCCCCCAAATCGTTCTCTAGATCGCCACTAAATTATCCAATAAAGTGCAGCGCCGTTACTCTCGTCCAATACCCATCACCGGTCATGCACGACGCAACGTTCTGTCTTTTCGCTCGTGGCACGGAACGAAAACGACCATTATCCCTCTCCGTGTCCATCCCGTCTTCCTTCTCGACAAAAAAAAAAAAAAAAGAAAAATCATCTTCCGACTCTTTACTCTTTTGCAACGCGTATAGATTCGAGAAGCGAAATTTTCATCGTCGAACGAGCTGGAAAAAAAAATCAAACGTATCGCAAGGGTGTGAATAAATTCGTCGAGAGCATGTACCAGCGATTATCCTTGAATAACTTTCACTTCGAACGCCAATATTCATTGATAAAAAAAATAAGCAACTTTCGAGAGATTTGCTCTCGAATTTTTTCCTACATTCGCACCCTTACTCAAGAACAAGAGAAGGTTAAAAGGGACGAGGGGGGAGAGTGGAAAGTTAACGTGGAAATTCGTCGAGATGAAAAGAAGCAAGAGAGAGAACGCAGAGAGGAAAAGTCACGTAGAACTTTCTTTCTTTCTTCTTTTTTCCGGATGGTGAATTTTTCGTGGCCCTCGAAGGCTCTCTTTTGGAGCGAGAAGGAGGGGAGAAAGGAAGGAGGAGAGGGAGCCGATTCCCCATCGTCGCGAAATCGACGAGCAAATACTTAAGGCGTAACCTCGTTACGACAGCAGCCAGTGGAAAAGCGAGAAAAATCCACTCGACGGCGACGCTGGTGGCGGCGGCGACGGCGCGGAAAACTCGCTTCCGGCCGTTCGACGTCCCTTGGACCGGTTGAAATGCCAACACGGGGGAGGAGTGGAAAGGCCGACAGTGAAAAATGGCCCCGATATGGTCGCCTCGAAAATTTCGCGCGCGGAAAATTTCCTTCTCCGCGAGGAGACGAACTCTTTGACGAGTTCTCGAACGAACGAGCCAGCTCCTCGATTCGTATGGTTTGACAGGGGGGGTTCGAGAATTGATCGGACGAATGGGTTGGAATTTTCGCAAGTGTAAATTTTTAAAGGCAAATACGCGTTTGTCCAATTAGGGAAGTTTATTCGAACGATAGGATGCTTAAGTGATTAATTCGTGAATAATTCGAATTGGATTCAAAAGCGAGATTGTTTAATTATAATTGAAAAGTTTTTTTTTTTATAGGTGGAAAACTTTATTTGTTACTTTACTTACTTTTGTTTGATGAATTGCGTTTAT